CTCCATACAGAAAAATATTACCCTGCCGCAGCCCCAGCTGGGAAAGGCTCATGTGGAGCAGAGCTGGTGTTTTTATAGCTTCTTACCCTTTAGGATGCAGGTACATGGAATGGTGATGTCTACAGCAGCACACAAAAAGACAAAATAGATAAAGGAATGAAGCTCTGGAGGAGGAACCTGAAGGCCACAGGGCTTCTAGACCTAACTAGGAAATGACTTGAGGATGACCATGAGCCAGCAATGTGCCCTTGTGGCCAAGAAGGCCAATGGCATCCTGCGGTGCATTAGAAAGGGTGTGGTTAGTTGGTCAAGAGAGGTTCTCTTCCCCCTCTATTCTGAACTGGTGAGACTGCATCTGGAATATTGTGTCCAGTTCTGGGCCCCTCAGTTCCAGAAGGACAGGGAACTGCTTGAGAGAGTCTAGCACAGAGCCACAAAGATGATGAAGGGAGTGGAACATCTCCCTTACTAGGAAAGGCTAAGGGAGCTGGGTCTCTTTAGCTTGGAGAAAAGGAGACTGAGGGGTGACCTCATCAATGTTTACAAATATGTAAGGGGTGAGTGCCAGGGAGATGGAGTTAGGCTTTTCTCAGTGATAACCAGTGATAGGACAAGGGGTAATGGGTGTAAATTGGAGCATAGGAGGTTCAAGGTGAATATCCGAAAAAATTTTTTTACTGTGAGAGTGACAGAGCACTGGGACAGGCTGCCCAGGGAGGTTGTGGAGGCTCCTTCACTGGAGACATTCAAAACCCACCTGGATGCATTCCTGTGTGATGTACTCTAGGTCACCCTGCTCTGGCAGTAGGGGTTGCACTAGATGATCTTTCGAGGTCCCTTCCAACCCCTAGGATTCTATGATTCTATGATTTTATGACTTGAAGACAGAATACTGATGGGAGACCAGCAAAGGTCAGCACTGGACTGGGCCTGCAACCTGAACTAGTGAGTGAAGCTGGAGCTGTGCTGGATGAGTATTTTTGTTAACAGCAGAGCCACGCTATGGACAATAAGACTGCATTCTGAGGGAATGCAAGGAAGCCACTAATATGGCCATATGTGGATACAGGGCTCAGTTGCTTGGTTTTTTTTTTTGGGGGGGGGGGTTTGTTGTGGTTTTTGTTTTGTTTTGGGTTTTTTTTGTTGGTTTCTGTGGTTTTTTTTAATAACAGAAAGTGTGGTGGTGAAATAAAATAATAATAAAAAAAAATCTTAGAGCCATGAGATGACATGGATTTATTAGCACATGGTAGCAACATTTCAGTATGTGCCTCTACAATACATGCCTCTACAATACACAGATGCCCAGAAAAACATTCTAATGAGTTTAAGATGTATCATTCACATTCATAAAGAGTCAGAACATCCTGGTGGCCCTTTAGAAGCACGTTTTTACCTGACTGTTCCATAATTATACAGCTGTTCTTTGCCACAGTGGTTAAAGCAAGTTTAAAAATTCTGTCTGCTTGCACTGACACTAAATGACCTGTCTCAAATGTCTCTTCCTGAGGCATTACCACCACTTAACCTTAATGTTAACCTATGGTTTAAAAACAGCAATAATAATAATTCTAAAAATCAATTTTATTTCCAAATAGCTCAGTGTAAATCAAATACATGGAAAAAATCAGAAGTGTAGAGTGACAAAATGAGTGACTCAAAACAGCCACCTTGACAAAACACAGATTTTGTTCTGCTGTACTTGCTAATTCAGCAGGCTCTTTTACAGAACAAGGAGTAGGGCTGGAAGGGTGAGCAACTTCCTTATCTGGACAAGACACAGCACAGATGTTGGAAGTTTTATGGCCTGACAGCTACAGGGGCAGGACCTGACAATTAAGTTTGATGACCTGGCAACTATGGCAACAGGATGAGGCAATTTATTAATGTGACTGCGAGAATGAAGCAAAAGCTCCATAGCCCGAGGTTGCGTTAACAAGGCTAGAGGCAACATCTCTCAGCCAGAGGCTGTATCAACTAAACCACATTGTGGTGGACATTGGCTCTTCCCTCATCTTTTTTTCCTAATTATGAAGCATCCTGAGCCTGCTAAAATCCAGTCACCACACAACTTGTGCTAAAACTCGAACAATGAGTAACGGATAAAAGTAGCAGGCTTGAAGCACTTCTTGTGTGGCACCCTCCAAGGACCCCAGCTTCATGCTGTGATTGTCACTGGATCCAAGGGTGCTATCATCTTTTCTGTCCCCTTTTCTTCATCCCTCTCTGTTTCTAATCTGATTCTCAGCACATAAGGGTAATAAAGCCTGTAATTTTGCTAAGTTTTGCTAGTTGTAGCCTGTTGCTTTGGGAGTAATATTGTTGTGTATTGGGTTTTTTTTGCCAAGCTTTATAATCTTACCAAATTTTCAGTAAAGCTGTGTTTTGTTTAATCCTCCTGGTAATGCCATTACTCCTAGGAACTACACAGAGAATTAAAGAGGTTAACCTTGCCCTGTCCCCACTGCATGAGATTGGTCTGTTAAAAACGGTTAACCATACCCACTGAATGGGATGGGCTCAAAACTTACCTGTACCCAGTGCATGCAATGGGCCCTGTCACAACTCTCCCTGAGAGGGCCAGGTCTGAGAGGAAGACTGGATCTAGCACACCTGGGATCCTCTCTGAGAGGAGTTGTTTAGAAAGCAAGGGAGTCCAATCTGAATCTCCCAGGGTTGTCCAGCCTGAGTTGTGATAGTGAGGAACTCCAATCTTCTAGACAATTCTGTCTGGACTGTTGCGCTTTTATTTCATGGAAAGCTACCCAAAACTAACTCATTTTTCTAATCTTTCTCATTAGAGATAGCCCTGAAAATCATATTATATTCCTGGCAAGCAAACCAAGTGTAGTTTTCTAATTTAACAAAATTGGTTTGTCCTCTACTTACATGTAGCACAATATTATAAATAATTACATTAATATTTTATACGCTCTTTCCAATGAAAGAAAAATACTGTTTTCAGACACGGTTTCCAGGCAAGAGTAACTCATTTCTAATGTGAAATTAATTACTTTAGCCTCAGAAATCTGTATCTGAAAATTATCTATTCATATCATTCCCTATGTACAGTTCCAGCAAATAGTTGGCAATTTAAACTGTCTCGTACAGCTGCAATTGATGCGTGTCCTGTGACTGGTGAGGACTGGCATGTACCAGACTGGTTAACTGCCAGCCAGCCATGGCACTCAGTACTCTCCAGGTCCCCATACTCTGAAAGGCTTCCTTATTCTGCAAAGTTCAAAAATCTGCAGCAAAACAAGTATTTTCTTTCATCTTGGCAACACTTCTAGTTATTTTAGCTCTTAAGCAGCTTTCTGTGCTTGCCCATCTGGGATTACAGTACACTTCAGGTAGAAGAGGGTATGGCAGAGTGAACTGAATCAGTTAACAATATCCTGTCCCAGTAAATGATATAGTTACATATCCTCTGAATAGCCTTTTCTGGCCTCCATGAAGTGCTTATTATTTATTGCAACTTGTATTTAATTGAAAAAAATCAGACTGGAACACTTGACTTAGAATTTGTACTTAAATTATTGTATATTTCTGTTCACTTCAGATTTGAAGTCACTGAACATCTAATATAACCCTTGTGGAATCTGGAGAGAAGAGTTACTGCTCCACCCATTTGCTGTTTTGGAGGAAAAAAGCAAAACACCAAAAAACATGATTAGCATGCAAGGTCCCAGAGATCAGTAGGAAAGAGTCATTGAAACAGAAACAAAAATACTAATCAGAACATGTAGAATTGGGAAAATTTAACAGCATAACTGAATTCAGAACTATCTACAGCAAAACTTCAAAAGCTTGCTCTGTACTGTAAAACTCATCCTTCTCTCACTACATCTTTTATCTTTCTATTCAGACGTGGCTCCAAGGCTTACATTGCAAGTAGATTCTCCTTTAGTCAGAAATACAGGATGCAGCCAAGTCATACAGAAACCCAAATTCCCTGAAGATCTGTGTTTAACCATAGGACAGAAATTAACTCCTTTCAGCTGTGAAAATCATTCTATTCTGTATGACTCATTCTGTTCAGTATGTTGTTTCCTTACGTTTAGATGGAGCATAATGTATCTATGACTTCTAGAAAGCCAGAGGTAAGGGCACAAAATAGGATTTGTTTCAAAAAAGAACATGAAATATTCTAAAGGTGCACTCAAGATCTACAGATTTTCTGCAGAAAATTAAATTCATGGTAAGACAATGAAATATTCTGTCTTCATGTGTTACGAGACTTTGTCACATGACAGTGACTAGGGCAGAACAGATGTAAATGCAAGTTTGAGAAAACTGAACTGCTGTTTGGCTCAAATCTATTCCTGAAGGAAAAAAACCCATATAAAGAACCTTTCAAAATCCAATCCTAAATTACATACAGGAATCTTTAATTAACAAGGATTGTACGTGAAAAGGATATGAAATATTTTTCAGTTAATCCCCTGCCTCAGACTAGTTTTGCAAAGATGCAGTCCCAAGACTACTAAGATCCAGACGTCTTTAGCCTGCCATTACAGAAAATCAAAGTGTTGTACAAACACTTGCACCATATAGTAACAGCAAAAGGGTTAGTACCAATTCTTCTGGCTTTATTCATCCATTCAAGAATAAAACCAATATTTTTGTAAGAGAAGAAGCAGTATCATAATTCAAGCTTCAGCATAAATGAAGTATGGAAACATATTTTTATGTATCAAAACACTTGTCGGCTAATCAACATTATTGTAGCTCTGGTCCCTGTTCCTAGCATGGGTAATTATTGAAGTGCATGAACCAAAGGTACAGAGAAGCAAAAATGCATGTGTCCAGCTTTTAACTCAGAATTCCTTAAGATCTTCCTTAAGATATTGATAAAGAATGGGAATTTTTAAAAGGTGAAAAATCAGACAGTTCAAATAAGGAAAAATGTTTCATTTACACATTCACACTTCTGATGATGAATTATGCAGAGTAACAGCATGAAAATATTAACAATTTTCCTTTTCTTGTAGGTATTCTCATCTTGAATATGAACTCTGTTTCACTGGATTCTCCTGCTTAGAACAAAAATTATCCCAATATGCAGAATCCTCAGGTGTGACTGGAATACCAGATGCAACTAAATCTTCAAAAGTCAATAATGTAAACTGTGGTTGGTTAGGCTCCATAGCACATACCTAAAAAAATAAATATTAGTATTAGAGGAATCAATAAATCTCATTTTTTTCCCTGCAGTATTTACTGTCCTTTAAACTATACATTGCTTATATACATAAACTGTACTATACATTGCTTACTGAATAAGAAAATATTCCAATTGAGACCAATATCACTGTCCCCAATTTAGGCTATACAGTAATTAACAGAGGCATATAACAAACAAAACACACAGAAAAAGCCAATTTTTCATTGAAACTCAGTTCAGAAAAATGAAAGAATGAAGGACAGAGAATGATGCAAATACTAACGAATGACTGTTTAAGTCTGGAAGAAAAAACCCACCAACAAAACCAAGCTGTACTTTCTTTCTTCAGCAGACAATTAATTGAGATAATAGTCTGAGGATTTATTCCACTAGAGGTGTACCTGTTCATACTCCTTTTAATACAAGCAATGACTGGGGTTATGCATGCTTCTCTCAAACCCATGCTATTTAAGGACAAAAGTGTCCACAATCAACCCACAATTCCCAATGGCAAATCCAGATCAAGTGCAGACTGAGATACTGGAGATGGTTCAAGCATGATTTTCTTTTGACAAAGAAAGTCCTGATAATTTCTCCTTAATGTGCCTGGAAATGGTTTCCAGAAATAGTTGATAAGTCACCTTTCCAGAGATGGAGGTGAGGACAACAGGCCTGTAATTCCCTGGGTCTTCCTTCTTGAAGACAGTGACATGCGCTTTCTCCCAGTCTCAGGGCACTTCTCCCAGTTGCTATGATCAACAAAAGACAATTGAGAGTGGCCTTGCAATGGTATCTGCCAGCTCCCTTAGCACTGTGGGTGCATCACATCAGGGTTCATGGATGTATGTACATCTAGTATGCTTCACTATTCCCTGACCATATCCTCTTCCACCAAGAGTACTTTTTCCTTGCTCCTTCCCTACTGATCTCTGGGACCTGGGTTTCCTGAAGGCCAGTATTGCTAATAAAGACTGAAGCAAAGGCAGCAGTCAGTACCTTAGCCTCTTCCATGTCCTGTGTACTCAGGGTCTCTGTCTCATTGGGCAAAGGACCCACATTTTCCCTAATCTTCCCTTTGTCTCCTGTGCACTTAAAGAAGCCCTTCTTTTTGCCTTGGACATCCCTAGCCAGATTCAATTTGGGCTTTAGCTTTCCCAACTTTATCCTTGGATACTCAGACAATGTTTCTGTATTCCTCGAGGTTACCCATCATTGCTTACAACCTCTGTACACTTTCTTTTTGTGTTTTGAGTTTAGCTAGGAGATCTTTGAACATCCACATGGGCCTCTTAGCATTTTTGCCAGACTTCATACTCATTAAGATGGAATGTTCTTGAGCTTGGAGGAAGTGATCCTTGAATATTAAACAGCTTTTTTGGGCCCTGCTCTAAGGCTGTATCATAGAATCATTTAGGTTGGAAAGGACCTTTAACATTACCGAGTCCAACCCTAAGCCTAATGTTGCCAAGTCTACCATTAAACAATGTCCCTAAGCACCTCTTCTACATGTTTACACAAATACCCCCAGGGATGGTGACAAGCACTTCCCTGGGCACCCTTTTGGTGTTGTTTTTTTTTCCCTAATATCCAATCTAAACCTCCCCTGGCACAACTTGAGGCCGTTTCCTCTTGTCCTATTGCTTGTTACCTGGGAGAAGAGACCGACCTCCACCTTGCTACAATCTCCTTTCAGGTAGTTGTAGAGACCAACAGGATCCTCCCCTCAGCTTCCTTTTCTGCAGACTAAACAACTCCATTTCCCATATCTTCTCCTCTTAATACTTGTTCTCTAGGCCCTTCACCAGCTCTATTGTTTGTCTTTGGACATGCTCCAACACGTTATCCCACAGGACTTTTCTTTTAGGAGGCCAAAGTCTGCTCTCCTCAAGTCCAAGGTTGTGAGCCCTTCTCCCTGCTGGCAGTATTCTGAACTCCACCATCTTGTGCTCACTGCAGCCAAGGTTGTCCTTGACTGTCACGTAACCAAAAAGTGTCTGCTTGTTGGTGAGTAGGATGTCTAGCAGAGAAGCCTTCTTCATTGGCTCCTCTATCATTTGGAGAAGGAAGTTGTCATTGATGTACTCCAGAAAGCTCCTGGATTGCTTATGTCCTATAATGTTGTACCACTAGCAGATACTGGAGTGTTTAAAATCCCCCATGACAACCAGAGCCTGTGAACATGAGGCTGCTCCTACATTTTGTTGAGGGCCTGATTCACTTTTCTTTCTGGTAAGGTGGCATACAGCAGACATCCACTATAAAGTCACCTTCACCTGTCCTCTCTTTAATCCTAACCGATAAACTCTCAGCTGGCTCCTGCCAGGCACCCATCCCCAGGCAGAGATCTTGCACTCTAGCTGCTCTCTCACATAAATGGCAACTCCCCCTTCTTTGTGTTCCCTGCCTGTCCTTCCTAAGGAGCCTGTATCCCTTGATCACAACACTCCAGCCATGGGAGCCATCCCATCCCGCTTCAACGAACCCAACCAGACTACAGCCCTGCAACTGCACACAGATCTCTAGTTCATCATGTCTATCCCCCATGCTGCATGCACTGCCCTACAGGCACTTTAGAAAGGCACCCCAGCATGTTGAGTTCCTGGTGATGGTTTGAGGGATTTGCCCATAACAGCATCTTGCAGGCACTTGCTTGTTTACATGCAAGTGCTGGAAGTGACTCCACCTAAGGCACATTTTGTTGATTTTGTTCTCTTTTCCTGTCACATCAATGAAGGTAAGTCAGTAAATAGGTAAAAGAGCAAAAATGTCTGTTCTCTGCTTCAGTATTTGGGCAGTAAACTACTGTCAGTAGAGATAGCAAAATGGTTTGTGTTTGTTTTAAGAGCACAGCAAAATACAAAGTTGCCCAGAAATAAAAAGTTAAGCTGCCTCTCACTTTACCTCCTCACACAAGTGACACAGTGTAGAGACATTTCTGTACATCTGGCATTTTGCACATGAGGTAAAGATGCAGCAAGTGTGCCTGGAGCCATGCAAGTGACATTGCAGGTGCATACCAAGTATGAACCCAGCCTCAGAGCTAACAGGTAGAGTTTGAACTTCAGCACATCCTTGTCTGGAGACAAGTGTGCTCTAACCGAATTAATCACAAGTCCTCTGAAATTTAGCAAGTGATAGACAAAAAGATATTTTACAGCCACATAGGAATTAGAGAGAATTAGAAACTCAGCCATCCTTCACTGAAACCTGTCTCAGAGACTCAATATCTAGGTAAGAGTGCAGATAAATGTTCTGTCTTTTAAAGAATATAGCAATCACTAGCACATATTTTCTTAAGATTCTTGATACTAGATACTTCAATTATGATAATTTAAAGTAACAATTGCTTTTCCTGTGAATTGCAGGTACTTGCTATCAGGTTGGGAAGAAAGTTCACTGAAAGCACTTTCTATAAAAATGGACTACTCCTTTGATGGCAGAGAGGGAACAGGAACAAGCACTGACATCCTGAAGCGATTGCATAACGTCTACATACTCTGTTTTTTAAAAATTAAGATGAAGAACACTTTTTCCTCTCAACACATCTAGCAACTCATAGAATCCTTTTTTATATGCCTCTTTGACAGAGGGAAGGCCATTTTCATTATCTCCGCACTCCTGTCAGGAGTCCTGAAAAGGCACAATGCTATATTACAGAATTTTTCACTTTGTTTCCATCTTGGGGAGTCACACAATGCTCACTTGTCCTATTAAAAATGACCTTCTTTCAGCAAATTGAGCTACTGAAACTTAGGACATCACAAATTCAGTCAGTAGATAAGTATGCCTTTGAGACTTTTCTTAATGCAAAAATTTTCAACATAACTCTTGATACCAGTCCTATTATTTCCATGATAATACTAAGGTGTGTGACAGCAGTGGCAAAGGTCAACACTCAAAACCCCCAGATTTTGTAGAATACTTAGATGATTTGTCTATAGAAATAATGGTCACCTTCTTTTCACTTTGGATTAACATTTATCAATATTCCTGTAGGAAAGATGACATGTAGCCCCACTGGGAACCTAAGTATATCCTGTCAAAGAGACTCCACATATTTTCTTAAAGAATAATTGAGCATTGCCTTACCACAGTAAATCCTCAAAGGTAGCTTACACCTCCTTTTTTTTTTAGTATATCCAATACTAGTTAAAAAGTCTGCCTCTCTGTGTTATTCATGAACACAGACTCAGACTTTATGATCATGACTGATACGTGCATGACCATTTTCATGTAAATCCTCAAAGGTAGCTTACACCTCCGTTTTTTTTTAGTATATCCAATACTAGTTAAAAAGTCTGCCTCTCTGTGTTATTCATGAACACAGACTCAGACTTTATGATCATGACTGATACGTGCATGACCATTTTCATCCTTTTATACATTCATATACTATTTTTTTTTTCTAGTTTCTGGCAGAATCTTTGTATCTGAATAACAGAACAACACTAACCCAATTTTTTGCGAGCAACTGAAACACCACAGACAAACCTGGCAATTTGTCGCACTTTTCTTTGCTGATTGTCTGATCATTTCAGCTGCACCTTGCCAGTATACCTCAAAATTGACTCTTATTGCTATCTTCATGATCCAAGTCTTTGTTTCATTACACAGAAAATCCTGAAAAGCTTTAAAGCAATTTTGTTGCTTCTCTCAGTAGAGAGACCACATGGAATGAAGTCTAACACTGCTGTTCTTCCCATCTGTTGGTTGTTGTTGCTTGTCTCATGGGTTATCTTGTCATCATGGTGTTTGAAAGATGGATATGCTCTGGGATACGTGCACTGACAATCCACCCCTACAATCAAGTTGTTGAGCTGCTGTTCTGGTTTAGCAGTCCAGATTGGTTCACTGTCTCTATTTCCTTCTGCAAAAAACATGTTTCCCATATCAGTACTACCAGGCTGTGCCAAAAAAATCACTTTATCTTTTCATGAATGAACACACTGAATGCTGTGTAACACATACATTCTAGATTTGACATTATTTGTTGCTGTCCTCTGAAACCATCTCTCCTTCCCAGACGTTTCCTGAAATAGGCACAACAGAACTAGAAGTAACAGTTCAGTAACAATCTGGTTAATTCTGTCCTTAAGCTTTCTCCTTGGCTCTCCATCTGAGATAACACACTTTCAGCTACTGCATCAGATTAAGTTTATTTTCAAGTTATTAGTTATCAGGAACTGAAAAAGTTTCCTAATTTCTTACATCAGAATGCTTTTGTCCAAATCCCTTCTGTTTCCCGAGAGCCACTGCGACATGATGATGGTCATCTAACCGGGTTTCCTAGAAAAGATGAAAAATGGCAATGTGAACGCATTTTCTTTACTCTTTTCCAGCAAAGACTGTATAAATGTTTAGAATATGGTTTAGAACAACAGCAGAACATAATTTAAAATACTACAAAATAATGACATTCATAAAGCAGTAGACTCTTTTAGCAGTTTTGTTGGAGAGCTCAAAAGTGCAGATATATTAAAACGTTAGGAGGGCTGAAATGGTTACTATAGGTTACCATCACTCATTTGTAGATATTTATATTCAGGTTTGTGACCTTAGCATTTCTTTATCAGTCCCTTCTGTGTTACAGGCCCTTTAGCCCATCTTAGCTATTTGATTTCCAGTGAGATCAAGTCTGAACTTCTGGGATGTATTCTGAGGAACAATGATCTAAGTGTAAATTTAAACTAGTGACTCTCACTCTTGGCTTCAGGTAGCATGTTAGATCACAACTCTGAATTTCTGACATGGCAGTCTGAGCACTGCTCTGTATAAATACAAATCAATTTTCCTCAAAAACTGTTTTTAGATATGTAACTATAAATTTATTAATATGCTTAATCTAATAGCTCTCTTTCATAGTGTTTTCCTCTAGAAAGCCAAAGAATTCACCCTATACAATTCATTTTAGTTAAAACACTTCTATACACTGTTTCTGAATAATATTTATACTATAGTCAAGTCACAATCCTGTTGGCTTTTAAAAAATACATACACAGGAGAAGGGGAATAATGTTTTCCTTGTTTTGTCATCCAAAAATTTTCACATAATTTCTACACCAACTTTCTAAGGTGAAAAGCAAAAATAACAAGAATTTTACTTAGAAAAACGAACAATTTACATATCATCATTAATCTGAAAATCAGTAGTCTGGATATTCTCTTGGGAGGTATGACTGAAGCTCAAATTTCCACTTCCTTTGAAAAGACTCTAACTGTACTTTATAATAATACAAATAAAGCATGCTTCTTTTTCCTCTGACAGCTTGTTGGTTGCCTTTTCTCCCCCTTTTAGTCTGATAAAAATGACTTTTAAAACAAAGCTGCCAGTCTGCATTAGGCTTCTCTACAGTTTGTCTACCATAAAGGCTTTTCAAATATTTCAGTTGCAAGGATACTATTTCTATGATTCCCAAACAGTGCTGCATATTAGAAGTGTCAAGATGCTCAGCCCAAACCTACTCATCCCAGCTCAGCCCAGACAGCAGCTGCTCTAGTCATGTGTAACAGCAGTAGAACTATAATGTTGGGAGACTTTACTTGCAAAGATGTGGATGTCTTGGCAGTTAGGTGCTGGTGTGAGAGTAGAACCATGTTTTTACTTTGATCTCTCCAGTACTAAAACTGTGCCTATTTGACAGATTTAGCAGTGAACTTTCTTTAAGCTTAATGCACAGAAACGTCTTTTTGTGAAATGCACTTATGTATTACATCTTGAGCTGTTTGAGCAACTATAAACATATTATAAAGTCTTTTACATATTGTTAATAAAATGGGGCTTTTGTCAGCTCAAAGCTGCATTTAACAGAAGGACCATTCCCTGAGAGATCCTGCCCAACAGGCAATGAATTAAGAAGATTCCAACTCCTTTAGTTTACATATCCTCTGTGATCACAGAAGAGTTTTTATCATCTTACAAGAAAATGTAACAAACTATGCCCTTCATCTTATCTTTGGTGCTTCAGAGAAATGTAAATCCAAAACAAACACAGAAGGGAAGGAGATCTTTCCCAGCTCCTATTACTTGCCAGCAAAAAACTCAAGGTATGGAATTAATGAAATACACTGAAACAATAAAAAAACAGCAAATCACCTTGCTTACCTATTCACCTGGAGTTATTGCTATACCAGCTTATAATATAAATCCAACTTTTTAAACGGAAATAGAAGATTAAACAAAAATAGAGAGAGGACATTGGTACACTTTTACCTTAGAGAAATTCCTTTCCCTTTCTTTTCTTAATATTCATGCAGCAACAGACAGCTTATGAGCAAACTACTTTCCCAGCCAGGAGAAACAGTTGCAGTGCAGAGAAAAATAGATTTTTACTCTTTATAACTTGCTGTATGAATCCAGTTGGATTAGTTAGTCTTAGAAGTACAAGTTTTCATTCCTTTTTATTCCTGACAATACAAAAGGATTAACTTCCACTGAGGGTGAAAGATTCCATTGCTGCACACCAACACCAATTACTGAATATGTTTCTAATTGACCCAGGTAATCTCAGTTTGAAAATAATTTTCTGTAGGCAATGTGTAGATAGAGAAATGAAATAAAAATTTGTTGTGAAGAAAGGCAAACAATTATTTGTGTAGCAGCAGTGATGTCAGGTGATTCTTAATCCTCAAGTGAGGTTTAGGATAAATTGGCTGCTTCCCTTCTAAGCTGGCTGTATTCAAATGTCTCATTTAAGATTCTGCTTTAAAATAGATTTCAGTAAGTGCCATCCAGCCATTGTTCTTGCGTAACTGTAAAAAACTGGGACCAATAAGAGTCATAGACTTAACGTTTTGCAAATAAATAATTAGTTTTTTCCGTACATATCAGATCTGCTACATATAAACATACATTTATAATGTATATATCTTATTACATAATAGAATTTGTCATAACTGTTATCAACCAACTTCATTTGCCTTTATTAAAATGAACTAATACTTAATTCTGTATGTTTATTTTATTCAAAAAAAAGTAAAAGGAGCATATAGAATTAATACTACTGCTACTACTGCTATTGATACTAATAATTACTTCATTCTAAATTTACGCCCTGACAAAAATACTATATCAGTCTTCACTGGGCTACTAAACTTATTACTAAACAAATTTGTTGTTTTTTTGTTGTTTTTTTTTTAATGAGCAAAGCATGCAGTGCCTATGTGAATAAAGCATATTTAATACACAGTGCAGAAATACCTTAGAATTAAATTTAAGTCTTTAAGCACAGTTTTACTCATTTTTTTTCTCCTACTCCTTCCAAAATAGTTGGAGGGCTAGAGTACTTTATGAAAACAAGAGCCTAAGGCTAAATTAATCCATCAAGATAAAACTACATGAGACTAGGTCTGAGCTACTGCCTTCTATCCAAGCTCAAAAATACATGAGGCATAGAGGAGGGGAAAGATACTTCGAATAAAACCAAAACCTTGATAAAAGGACAGCAAACAGTCAAGCACACAACAAGGTAGTTCATGGGGTATTTAGATTAATTTTTTATTTTTTTTCATGTTCACAGAAAATTCTGTCTCAAATAGGAAGAGGTTTTGCTCTTGTTGTGAACAGTTACGGGCTCTCTGAACAGGTTTGATCTGCTCAGACTCACTAGTATTTCTCTTGACTTTTTTGCAGTGACAAGTATAAAGTGGCAGATCTTTTCCTAGTTTTGATGCTTTTAAAAGTTGCTTTTTTCACATTATACTGTACTTTCTGAAGGAGTTTTCAAAATATTTTCTCTAAATGGGTAAAATCCCCTTCTCTCTATTGTTTTTGGTAAATTAGATTCTCTTTAAAACTGAAATACGGCAATCCAAAATATGTGATAATTGGATTGCTCTCTTTGGTAATCTCCTAGCATAAAGATTATAATTTTTTTATTTGTTAGAAGAAGTTCACTCAAGCAAATTCAGCACAAAAGGAATTCAATGAAAATACTATACCAGTAATATGCCTCCCAGTCTTACTCGTGACTCTTAATGACTTCTCTTGGGTAGCTCCTCCAGATTTCTCAAAATTAGTGTTTTCAGTTAACAAATTGTTTTTAGAATTTGGCTCAAGGACAGATAATAATAAGACTTTTAAAGTAAGAAAATGGGCACAAAACTAAATTTGGAAGAAGAAAAAGTGATGCTTAATTTTTGACTGGTGATTGCTAACTGAAAAACTAATTCTTTTTTTTTAATTTCAGTTTAATAAATGTTTAAATTTAAATGAAATTATATCCCAATTGAGGCTGTCTTTAAATTAAACTATATAATAAGTCCTTTCTTTGAAACACTACCATCTGTCTCATTTTAAGGCTGTGCTCTTGGGAAGCAGGGGACAAGCATGGAAGAGAAGACATTCTTCAGACAAAAATTAAATTAAGCTTCTAGCAGTAATTACTAATGATAAGGACAGATCAAATAATTATAAAGCATCAAGTAATACAGAGAGCTATCTACATCATTGTCTTCAGGCTATTTTAGTCAATCAACCACAGGCATGTAATCAATGACCAAATGTAGCTAGAAATGCTACCAAATCTAACAGGATAGATGGTTTAGTGATAAGTCTCAGCAACTTTCAAGAAGGAAAAACAAACAAAAACCCAAAACTCCAGCCTCTGATAGGAGATTGAGCCCAAAGTAATGTTCCAGTTAAGCAAAGTCAAGCTTTTTGAATCCTTCCATTCCCACAGACCACAGCCAATCAGCACACTGTAACTCAAAATCCACAAAAAGCACATTTCTACCAGCTTGCACAGACAACAGGAAAGAAACCCGTAACATAAATTGAGTTAGTTAACTAAAGGGGTTAGTTAATCACTAGTTCCATTCTAGACCTAATGAAGAGCTTTTTAGAAGCTGCCCAGAATTGAGGTCTGAACATGCTTTGGTGAACTTCCTGTACACCCTAGGATGAATTTAATAGAATGAAATATATCCCAGGAACAGAAAAAATTAAAAAATATCATAATGAATATACTTCCAGGGTGTTCTTACAATCATAAAAATAGTTTAGAATGTAGTGGATTTATATATTATGTTTTGATTGATATATGTTGAATGTGGTTATACAGAATAAAGGTGTGAAGATGTAACTAAAAGAATCAAGTATGCAATGCAATCATAGTGTGTTGAGACTGTTGATCATTTTGAAAAAATAAAATTTAATATTTCTTACCTCAAATGTCCACTCTTCTTCTTTCTCTCCATCAAGAAGCATTTTTGTCTCCTTATAAACCTTCCCTATTTCCAGTTGCAATGGAGACACATTAAATTCAATTCTTTGCAAGTTAAAGCCAATTCCAACTCCGATAGCCTTTAAGAAGCTTTCCTTTAAGGCCTAAAACACAGAATAAATGCATTTTATTCATCCTGGCTGTTTTCAAACTATTTTATAAACATTACTTCTGAGCAGACACTGCAGACCAAAGAAATTTAAGATTCACACTACTCTGAACGTGAAGGTAAACTACTGCAATTATCAAGTGATAAAGTTCTCAGCATTGCCAATACCCAGACTAACTTGCTGCATTATAATGAATATGCAACCAAATTTACCTAGTGGCACATACAGATATGAACTCTTTGCCTTTTACTGGGTATGTGTTAAAGCTAGTCATAAATCCTTCTATAAATGTCAGCTGTCCTATGGTTCTCAAACCTATTCTGATACAACCAAAAAAAAACCCAACACTAAAATATAAACCCATTAAAATATCACCACACAAACACATAACTATAAAAGTATATAAATTTATCCTAAGAAAATAATAACAAAATATATCAAAAGAGAGCATGTAAGTTATAGCATTGCAGTCTTTTAATAGAAAAAAAGGTATTACCCAGTGCCTATGAAACATATCCAGCTGCATCCATTCATTACTCATAGACTTGATTACACCCCACTCTGTCTCAGTAAACTGCCGCTTCATGATGCGAAAGAAATTTGGAATTGAGCTACTACCTATAAAATAGAAAGAGATATTTACAGAAAATTTAAGAGTAGTAATAATAAGCAAATTAATTACCTCATGTTACTGCTCCAGAAACAACTTGTAAGAGAAAAAAAATTATGAACCAACTCTGCTGTATAATGTGAATTTATATAGCCTCCAAGCAGCGATGTTGACGACTGTTCAGTACACAGTATGAAAAAAGCCATTAATATAACAGAACTACTGCACTAAACATGTGAAATGAGAGTCATAAACATATTACATATTATTTTCAACATTTTCTAGAAAGGAAAGTATGTAACCAGTCCAAATTTTAAATTAAAAAAAAAATATATTCACCTACAAAAGTAGCTCATTGACATCTGACAACTTAATCTAGTAACATTTTATAACACAACATGCTGTTTGTCATAATTGATTAAACTATTCTGCCTCCTGCCCTTGGATGCTGGGATACAAAACAAAACAGTTTTTTAAGCACTCGTAGAAATACAATCTCCCAAATTTATCACATGCATCATTAGTCTTTTAGATTTATCCTGCAAGAAAAGCAGGGGTAGGAAGATACCCATAATCCCAGGAAGAAAGATACAAAGGAAAAAAAAAAACAAAACCACCAAAGCTTAAAGTCATTAGATTAAATTTAAGCCTTCCCTAGAAAGAAGCACAGCTGTGCAGCACCACAGCAGCTCTTCAGGGGCTACACCACTCTTCCCCACTAGTCTAAATTTACTTTGCAGAAGACACAACAGACTGTGTGGTTATATTGATCAATGGCATTTCTATAATACACTGGAAGCTCTGGACCTCATTACATGCTTGGCTAATTGCCCATGGCCTATATAATTAATCAGCACACCATACAAACTGTCCAATAGACCATACAGCTGGCTAAACACACAATGGCAAAAGCAACCTATTTTTTTATTAGGGATAATAAAAATCTGGATAGAGACAACTTCACATATTGGGACTTTTTTTTTTTTCATATGTTACGCAATGTTCTTTTTAAAAAGAAAATACTACCTCTATAGTCTGGGGTTTTTTACTGGCAGCAGTCATAATTGGTCTGAGTGAACTAACACCAACTAAAGCTCACATTCAGGTTTGCTGGCAATTTCCTGCTCATATTGCAAAGTGTAACCTGACAGAGTGTACACATGACACAGTAGTGACATTTCAGAGATGTCCTCAATTTCCTTTGGAGACCAAAGTGAAGACAACATCTTAAGACAGATATTTTGTTGACAGTTGCAGTAGTCAGCTAATGGAATGATCCAGAACAATCTAAGGACAGAACTAACTTTCCTCTCTGGAGAAAATTATTATATTGAAAAAGAAAGGCAACAACAATGTCAAATGTTTTGATGGATTACCAAGGCAAATGAAATAATCATTAGACAATCAAACTTCCCTGAAACAATGAAAAATAACAAAACAAACTTTTCAATTTGGAGAAAGGTTATTGTCTTTCCTCTCTCCGAGTTTAAATGGCATATTTTATGATCAAATAACTGTGTTAACACCTGCTGCAAACAATATTTTTTTTTCTCCTTTCTCTTCTTATCTAAAGTATTTAAGACAACAATGGTGAGACACCAGCCTCTCCACGTGATTCAAAATACAAAATCTCAAGAATCTGGTGGACCGTTCCTCCTCCATTACTTTCAGAGAGTTCTCTTCCTTTCAATAACCTAGGACTATTCATGCTACCAGAGAAGACTACTTAAAGAGTATCCACACTACACTACCTTCAGCATCTACAGGTGTCTAATGCCTCCTGCATTGTCAGTCCTTGTGTCATCTCAACATTATCATGCACGAACACACTCAAACTGTTTAGTACACTGACTGTGTATCAAACATAGGCTACTGCCTTTTCACTCCTTACCCCTTTTTTCTCCTCATTTTCTTCAACTGTTCAGCTATCTTTCTCGAGGATTATGTTCAAATTTACACAGTACTTTCCCCTCCACTCCAGCTGTCCATCATATCCCTTCTCTGAAAAGCTCAGGCACCACTTTCTGCTGAACTGCTCTCCCCTCTAATTTCCTTCTGAATACAGTGCAGTTGCTTCGCTCTTAGGAAGGGATCAAATTATAAAAGCCAGGACTATTATTCTCCACAAATTACTAGCAGTACCACAGCCTGCCTAGTCCATGTCTCTATATTTGCTTGAGTATCAGAGAAAGGTTCACAGAATCATAGAAAATCTAGGCTGGAAAAGACCTCTGGAGAACATCTGGTTCAATCTTCTGTTGAAAAAAACCCCTTACATTAGGTTACTTATGGCCTGTCAAGCATTGTCTTTCACCCCTCTCTGGGCAACTTATTCCAGTGCTTTGCTGTTCTTACACTAAAAACCCCATTTTTTAACCAGAAGGAACTTACCTTCAAGCAACCAGAGCCTGTTGCCTTTTGCCCTGTTCCTGTGCACCCTCCTTAACACAAGCACCTTTTCTGCAGCCACCTTTCAGATAGACTTCAATTAGATTCCCCTCTTTAGAACCTTACCCTCTTCAGGCCCAACAGCCCCTGCCTTCAACATTTCTACACAGATCAAGTTCCTCAACTATCTAATCACTTTAGTTGCCCTTCACTGAACACTCCTCAATGTCCACGTGTCTCTCATGACCTGGAGGATGAGAAACAGACAAAGCTAGAAGCAGTAGAAAGGTGTGGGATTTTTTACCTTATACATTTTTTGCTTTTACTTCGAAGAAAAAGCCTCAGGCATAAGACATCATAGAATTATAGAATGGTTTGGGTTGGAAGGGACCTTCCAGATCATCTAGTTCTAATCCCACTGTCATAGGCAGGGATATCTTCCACTAGACCAAGTTGCTCAAAGCCCCGTCCAACCTGGCCATGAGCACTTCCAGGGATGGGGCATCCATAGCTTCTCTGGGTAACCTGTGACAGTGTCCCACCACCATCACAGCGAACCATTTCTTCCTAATATTTCATCTAAATCTACTTCTTCCAGTTTGAAACCATCCCCCCTTCATGTACTGGAAGGCTGCTATAAAGTGTTCCCAGAGCCTTTTCTTCAGGCTGAACAACCCCAACTCTCTCAGCCTGTCATATACCACAGTTTAAAATCTCCCTCTGAAAGAATGGGAACAAGTCTCATTTTCCAGTTATTCAGTTGGTTTAAAATTTTTACTTATAAATCACCTCTCATTTGAAAGCTATTTCAGAAATAAAGACACATATCATCAATTATACAAACACTTGAACTTATTCCTATGACCATTGTAATTAATTAACATTGCAAATTCTAGTTTACAAGATAATAATATTCCATTACAAACGTACCAGAGAGCTTTCTTTCATGCTGAATAATTCCAGTACACATACTTTACAGTTAACAGTTACTTTGGGTACAACTTTGACTTAAACATGATGTAATCTACATATGATCATAGAATCTTTTAGGTTGGAAAAGACCTTTAAGATCAAGTGCAACCATTAACCCTGCATTGCCATGCCCACAAATAAATCATGTCCCTAAGAATTGCATCTGTAAGACTTTTATATACCTGCAGGGATGCTGACTCCATCACTTCCCTGGGCAGCCTGCTCCAGTGACTGACAACCCTCTTGGTGAATATTTTTTTACCCTCTATTAATACCTTAAAATAAGATTTTTATTTAGTATAGAAGCCTAATCATAAAAATGTGACTAATAAAGAGGTTTTTCTTTTCACAAATGCATATATCTCTTCAGTCATCAACCAAATAACTTTACTATAAACTTAATGAAAATCTAAGTTAACAGTTATAAATTTTGAACACAGTATTTCCTGGCAACATAAACTTCAAAACTATTTCCAGTCCTCTGTATAGATACTTCTACAACTTAAGATGATTGACCTTCCTCACTTCAGTTTTTACCAGTTTTACTGCCTTCAAATTGTTTTGGTCAGATACAAACTAAGTACCTTATATTGTGGTCTGTATCCATGACTATGGAAATTGAAAGCTAAAAGCTACAATTGCAGCTCATTGATCAACTAATTCCCTGAAAAAAAATCCCAACCAACCAACAAAAACAAAACAAAACAAAAAACCCTAGAATGCTAACAGATTCCTAACTGTCTTGATGTACATGAAAGGAATAGGTCAGTGAACAAGAACTAATACCTAATCAATACATATTAATTTACTTTCAGATGCTAAACAGGCAAAGTCAAATGTATTACCTAGAAAAATGAGCAACTGAAGTATTAACAGATCAATCCACTTAATAATGGGAAACATAGGCTAGCTACAAATCCTGCAAATTAGCAAACTTTGTAAGATTAATATGTTTGCAGTCCAGAACTCTTGGGCTGACAGGACATAAGCTATATTTGATCATGTTTTTCTATCTCTAAAGGAAACCAAACTAAACTAATACAGAGAAAACATTTCTTCTGCAACAGATGCCGAAGTCCTAATTGTTTATTAATACCAACTATCCCTTTTACAGATGTTTAGAAACTGACACCACAAAACAAATAATTCATTAGATAAATTACTAAGAAGAACCAGATAGGAAATAAAAAAACCATGTTTTTAAAATCTTTTAGCTCGCACAGCTTTAGGGTGAATTGGAAATTGGATTTGCAATCTGTGATCTCTTCCACAATTCTCCCAGTGATATACATGTTAAACATCCATTCTTATCATGTAAGTACTGATCACATGTTTTATCTTGGCATACTTCAGAGAAGCAGCATTTACTTTAAAATGTCAGAAAGTCTGAGGTTGCCTCCTTTGAATTATTCAACATTTCCCAGACTGTAAAAATTGAAAAGTCATAAAAGACAGAAATAATTTGATGCTTGATATTTTCTTTGCATTTAGGCTTGTTGAGTCTTTGCAATATTGAGGGAAACAGCCAAGGTCCCAATTATATTACTGTGATTGGGTCTAACAGCACTGATGAGTGATTAAGCAAGCTGCCCTGACAGTTAATGTTCAACAGAAGAAAGTAAAAAATTAGAACACATTTCGAGAATCA